ATTTAAGAAAACATTCAATATTTATTTAATCTCCAAACCAATCAGACAGGACAGAGTGGCTCATCTTTAGCACAGTATATTTATTATATCTTCGTGGTTACGAAGGTAAAATATCCCCCTCATTTAGTTCACAATAACCTAGAAACCTAGAGGGAGTCGGTTGCCCTCTCAGAAGTTTGTTTCTGGCACTAATGGCTCTGCCAGACTGAATATGGTTCAGACACCGATGACTGGAGTAATTTGACCTATTTTACAACTGCTGCACTTCCCACTTAGTAAAGCCAGGCCTGTCAGGAGGTGCTGAGTATAGTCATTGTTGCTGAATTAATGGTAGGTTGGTGGCCATGTTTTATATGACCATACAAAGTTTGTTTGCAAATATTGAACAGGAACGAGACAAAAGTCAATAAAGCAATAGAGATACACCTATTTTATCATTTATTTCACTCTAGCTTGTCTGCAAGAGCAGTAAAGCACTCATTGATTTTTTCACATCAATAAACATGCATTATGTGCTTTGTGTACAATGTGTAAACCTTGTAAAAAGAACCCAACTTTATAAAAAAAACTTCCTGTAACCTAAAGAAACCAATGTAAATCCAATCAAATGCATAATATTTAAGCATTATTTTTTCATATTAGCTTGAGTGATTGTTGTGCTGAAAATTGTGTTATATATATTCAGACCAACAGCATGATTGCATACATGTTATATTGTTTTTTTATAAAATGGTTAATTCTATTCCTCGATTCTGATTGGTCAGCAGCTGTGTTTTATCAAAGACTATAGAATACCCAATACGTGTCACTTGTATAGTTTTGAATGGGGAAAAATGCAACGCTCAATATGGCCGCTCTATCGAACGAAACCTCGCCTTCTGAGCAAAAGAACCAGTCGCTAATCGGTAAAGTCAGCATGTCACTGCAGCTGCCGTTAGAAGTCCCGGTTGCTATAGAAACAGTCAGCGTTCTGAGACTTGCGCCTAGGACTGCGCATGCGCACTGGCTGATCTAGTCTGAGAAATAAGCTTTTTATAACGCCATTGAGCAAAATAAACAACATTTATGACAAAGATTTCTTTGGGGATTTCAAATATGAAATTTAATCGCAAGCTTAGTAAACAGTTTTGGAGAATTTGATGTTTCCCCATTCAAAGAGATCAGAGTTTCACTTGCATGCCCGAGAGGCGTTTCAAAGATGGCCGCCGAGTGACATGACTTGCCTTAAAAGGACTTTGGTTTTATTCACGATAAAGCACGGCTATGACCGCTTCACCCAAAGGTTCTGTGTATCACTGAGCAACACCCTTAGCAAACACCCTTAGCAACATAAACAATCAATAATATAGCATTAAAACAGTTCTGTGTATTATGTATTTCAGTAGAATTTACTGTTTGTTATTTATTTAATGAAGTTTATAAAACGGTTAGTTCCATTCCTCAATTCTGATTGGTCAGCAGCGGTGTTTTATTCACGATACAGCACGGCTATGAACTCTTCACCCAACGGTTCTGTGTATCCCTGAGCAACACCCTTAGCAACATAAGCAATCAATAATATAGCATCAAAACGGTTTCATTTATTATGTATTTTGGCAGAATTAACTGTTTGTTATTTATTTAATGAAGTATGAGTGACCCCTGCTGGCGTTATCTCTCATCTTTAATTTTGAGACCCCGCCCTTCCCCCGTCTAATAAATGCTTCTCATGCAGAGATATGTGCGGCGCGCGTCTGTGTGGAAGCCTACAGTTTCCGAAGTGAGGAGGGAATATTACTGTATTTATTAGTTTTCTGTTTCAGGTATGATTCTGTAGCTATGTCCATCAGTTTACACTGTAATGACGCTTGCAAACTCGCTCTGTGCCGCGAATCGGTCTGTTATAAAACTAAAAGATGGGAAACGAACGTTTTCTCATGCTGAGAGATAAGCAGATGTATGTGTGTGAGAAAATATCATATATGGTGTTAAAAAAATAAATGACACAGCAGATGATAAGAGCTCCTATTCTCTGTTTTTATTTAAGCTCCATTAGATGAGGCATGTTACATCGGAACGTTCTCTTGCCGTTTACTGTTGCTGTCAGGAACTATTTTTTAGCGGAAGGACAGCATTTAACTTCAAAAAAGTTTTGCTGTCAGGAACTATTTTTTAGCGGAAGGACAGCATTTAACTTAAAAAAAGTTACATTTCAATACATACGTTTTTGGTTTTAATATTTTTTATTGTGTGGTAACCATTTTATAAAAGCAATAATTGGTACTCGAGGTCGTGATGTATCGTGAATAAATCACGGCTGAAGGGGTTGCAGATTTATTCACGATACAGTACCTTATTGCTTACATACAAATAACAGCAACAAAAAAGTTAATATTGAGTAACTTACATTATACATCCAGTAATGCCTTTTATGTTGTAATGTGTTTAAACAAATTGATTGAATGAATGATTCAATGACTCACTCAAAAAGAGTAATTTGTCACAAACCTGCTGGCAGAACAATACAACCATTCAATTACAGTTTTCTGAATTCCATTTTAATGGTTTAATTAAATTTTAATAGTCAAAAATAATTTTGAATTAGCAGTTGAATTAAAAAAACTAGAAGGCTGGTTGAAGAAATGACAGACATATCTTACTGTCATTTCTTCAACATGCTTTCATATGTGTAGATGAAACTGTGCATGCTCATTCACACAGAGACATGCAGAACATGCAGACTTTATATTTAGCACTTTTTGTGGTTTATTATTCTCAGACACTAGTTCATATCGCAATTTAATTTAGTGTACGGCCCTCCTTTCGATTTATTCTTCCAAGTTTCCCAAATTCTGTGACATTCTGTGTTATTCCATTTTTATGGATTGGATTCGGTAATTCTACCCTACTAAATACCCTGCAAAGATTCATCATGTAAACCTAAAGAAAGGTCTGAATACTTAGTACAAGTTTGCTTCATGAAGCTGACATTGCTTTTCCCATTGGCAGTACAGTGAAAAGTGGTTCACACTGAAATATTGCTACATTTTGCTGGAAAAAGCATCGTAGAAACACTGACCCAAACCAAATAAATCTGGAGACACATGTATATGACTTATAATGAAGCAATTAAGCTCTGACATGTTTTATTAGTAATGGCTCCATGTGCGCATGTGTTGGCTTGCTGCGGATGTGTCCCAGGGCACCAATGAGTGTCACTATCATAGCAGACGATAAGCTTTGGGCTCGCCTTTGACCCCACACCTCATTAATCAACTGCTCGTGAATATCTGACCTCCTCCACCTACCTCTCAAACATGCCATCTAATTCAGCGCTAAAAGATACATAAAACTCGCCCATAGAACAGTTATTTTAATTTGTAAGACTAGTTAACAATTGACAGTATTTTTGATACAATAAATGCAGCTGTGAATATTCTGTATAGTAGGTTTCTTCACTTTTACCTCTCAGGTTTCCGTTTCCTCTGAGAAAATGAGTTAATTAGAGAGTTTCAAGGGCTGAGTGTTGTTGAGAGAGGATGTAGATATGATAGTCTATCATATCTGTCATGCCTGGCTTTTGGCCATGCTAATCGTCACTGTAAAACAAGCTGCTGAAAGGTTATGCTGCATATGAACTTTTCTCTGCTCTCTGTACTGAAACATTTGATAAATGGGCAGCTCCTTAAGGTGCCTTTAGATGCCCCAGGCTGCTCTACATCCCACCATGTCATTGTTTGTTTATTGTGTACTGACAGCTGTAACTATGGCGATGCCCGTTTTTTGTGACTATGCAACAGCTGTTTTTTTAACCACCGATGTTTCAGCTGGAGGGACCAAGAATCCCCCGCAACCTGAAATGTTAAAGTTGATGGTCTCCTGGAGGGCTTTTCTTCCATGACATCAAACTCGCCTAAATACCTCCACGTCATTGATTTGATATATTTTCAGTCCCACATCTGTGCGCTCTGATTTTAACTTGGTCTGGTGTGTCTTTAGGAATACTCCTGGTTAACTAGGAGTCGACCTCTGTCGACAGCATCTGTTCCGTGCTGTTTATTACCACTGAGAACAAGTTCAAATCAAGCCCCAGTTTGTAAAAATAAAACAATAAACATGCTGACAGTTGTGTCAACATGTGCTTACAATGGAAATCTTTTGGGCAATTATCATATAGTGTGCGACAGATGCTATCGATAGAGCTCAACTTGTATTTAAGCTGAAATATTCTCTTAACCTGCTATTTTGGGGGCAATTAGAGATGTACAATATACCAGTACTGTTTTGGATATCAGCTGTCATTAGAGCACAATATTGTAAATATGACATTTAGAGGCTAATTTTGGATACTTAATTTTACACATTCATTTCCTCTATTTTTAAATATCAAAATCAATCTATTTTTCATACTGTACATTATAATGTTGTTATGCCTATAGATTCATATAGCATTTAAACATTTTATTGCATTATTTTATTATGTTATTATTTTTTAGATGAAATAATTTGGAATTATGTAGAATTTTAATGACCCATTTAAAAAGATTTTTTAAATTAATAAATTTATTTAGCAATAATGGATTAAATTGTTCAAAAGTGGCAGAAAAATATAATTGATCATGGATTAAACAAAAAATTTAGCAGCACAGCTGTTTGCAATGTTAATAATAATAGGAAATGTTTCTTAAGCATCAAATCAGAATATTAGAATCATTTCTGAACTGTAACTCTGGAGTAATGGCTTCTGAAAATCAGCTTTGCCATCACAGGAATGAATTACATTTTAAAGTTGAATAAAATAAAATAATAAAAAAATCTTTTTAAGTAATTTAGTTTAATTTAACTGTATTTTTGATCAAATAGATGCAGCCTTGGTGAACATGAGACCTCTTTCAAAAACATTAAAAAAATCTTGCTGACCCAAAACTCTTAAACAGTAGTATGTATCCGACATGCTGTCCAACCTCAGTGTTTGTTATTGGTTGCCTACTCATAGCTTCCTCTTTCTCTGTACTCTGCAGTCAGGTCTGATCCGGTTTTCCGGCGAGGAACTTCTCATCACTCCATAATCGCTAACCACGCCGGAGCACAGAACAGCTACTATTTTGTGTGTGCTACTGTCATCATTACGACCGCAAACATATTCTATTACTACTACTATACTACATTTTTCAATTAATTAAATTAAATTAAGTATATTTAAGTTTATAACGTCTGATTCTCACCTTGTTGATGAACAAGAATTGTAGTTTGCGAGTAAAGCTGCAAATTCTTAATTAACGTCAGCTGTCGCCGTAATAATTCTCTGATACATACAAGTGAAAATCGCTGCATGGCATGAATTATAAATTTGTTAGGCAGACTCTTAGTGAAAGTGTTTTTTTCCTTTACCTTGTACATGACAATGTTTAGTGCAAGTGTGAGTGTATGTTTTTAATCCAATAAAAATGACTCATAAGAGTCATTTGTTTGTGAATCAGAATATACCAGTCACTGCATGCTTTTTCATGATTCACTGCAAAAAATTGACTCTTAAGAGTCATTCATTCAGGAATCAGACTATACTGGTCGTGCTGTATGTTTTTGATTCATTAAAAATAACTGACTTATAAGAGTCATTTGTTAGTGAGTCAGAATGAACTGGTTGCTGTAAATCTTTGGTCAATTTAAAATGAATTTGTTTGGGTCACACTGGTCACACTGTATGTTTTTGATTCACTAAAGAACGGCTCACAAGAGCTTTTTGCTTCATAAATTGCTGATAAATAAGCTGTATGTTGACATTTCTTGGCATTAACAGACATCAACAGACTCCAAAATATGATTGATTTTGCTTTTGCACTAAACAGTGCATGAAACACTGGTTGCACAGCTAGTTTATTCTCATTAAAGGTAAATTGAATGTCATATCTAATTTTCGAAGTTTCCCAGACGATTTTCTTTTAATTTCTTTCATACTTGAAAGATGCCTAATCATTCACTACTCTGTCTTCTTTCTCTCACCACCCCTCTGAACACTTCAACTCTCTCGGCTTCACTGATGTCAGCTGGGTCTGTCTATCAACCACCACGCAGACCAATCACTCAACAGCTTCTGCCAGTGGCAATCAGGCCTGATAGGTAAAAACGGCAAGCGGCACGACCATGCCATACTGTTGACGGGGCTGGACATCTGCTCCTGGAAGAATGAACCGTGTGACACCTTGGGTAAGGCCCTTGATAGTCACCTTCCAATAGCAGAAGTGGGTCATGTGTTGTGATGTCAGTGGCTAATTGAGTTGCAGGAGGGTGAATTACACAATGCCAAGGTTAGAAAGAGCTTGTGGTTGGTGATGTGTGTCCTAGTCTGCCCTCAGGCAGAGAACTTCACCTGAATGAATCCAAGAAATCTCAAATCCACTTTGCAGTCATTTGGCAGCTTCTTCAATTTTTGCTATAGAGGCGTCAGCCAAATGTAATGAATTCAGCTCTAAAGCTCCAAACCACAAGTATGCACTTTGAATGTATGGCAAAGGGGAAAGCACTGCTTTTAAATTGCCTCTCTATGATGTGAAACTCAAACCGAAGCTGAGACCATGCAGTCAGAAACATAGCCTAAAAGTGTGTTTATGCGTAATGGGATCCTGTTTCAAGTTCTATAGGTTTGAAACATTGTGGTGTGTTTAGTGATGCTTAAATAAATTTGTATCAGTGTCACTCATATATCTTCCTCTTCCACCCATGTTTTCATCTTTCTGTCCTTTCTGACTTCCCGTCTGCAGGTTTCGCTCCAATAAGTGGGATGTGTAGCAAGTATCGTAGCTGCACGATTAATGAAGATACGGGGCTGGGCCTCGCTTTCACCATCGCCCACGAGTCAGGACATAAGTACGTTAACTCGTGGTTTCAGGTCCCACACTATTTCAATTTGGAAAACCATATGCTGTGCAACAGGCAAACATTTTGTTTGTGTTTGCTGGTTGCCATTGTGATAAGGGGAAGTTTATGTTTGAGATTTTGTTTTTATGACAGATGTATTTCGAGTCCTTCGTTCCTTTGGCACATTCTCAACATAAACTGGAACAAAATCTATCCTGGAGAACCATCAGGCTGATAACATGTTGTGGGATTTGTTATTCTCAGCAGTTCAAACATTCTGGTCAAATGAAATGGACACGTGCCTCCAATGTGCACAGTGTTTAGGGCAAAATCTTCACTGGCCAACAGTCGTTAATCACTCATTTATTGAGGAGTGGTCATTTATAAACACATGGCTCATCTTGCCAACACTGCTCAGGTCTGAATTTCGTGACTATATCGCATATGTTTATTTTGATGCATTAATACGTTTAATTCTTACAGGGTTAATAAAAGTAGACATCTAAATGTGTGAGTGTGAATCATGTGACTTATTCATTAGAGTAGAGAAATCATTGAAGGGATTTGTGGGATGAAAGTGCTTTCGGTTATAGAGGTAATGTCCCACCTGACTCCGGGAGTGGTTTTTGTCCTGAGGTCGTACATTAATAGTCTCACTGGGTAAAACTCACAATCTCCATCTTTCCCTCTTTTGCTCCCTCCTTTTTTTTGCCCTAGTTTTGGAATGATCCATGACGGAGAGGGGAATCCCTGCCGGAAGACTGAAGGGAACATAATGTCTCCCACATTGGCTGGGAATAATGGTGTTTTCTCATGGTCTGCCTGTAGTCGGCAATACTTGAACCGATTTTTAGGGTAAACTTTCACTTCACTTATCATCAAAAAGTGGTATATAAATACATTTTAGAAATTTATGTATTTTACAATTTTAATTGTAATATTTAATTTCCTATATATTATATATTCCTATATATAATATGTGGTTTGGTTATATAATATATACATTTGTTTTTACAAATATGCAATATGGTGTCCCATTCGAGATACGTATAATATTGTATGTTTTTTATGCCTGTTTCTGTGCTCATCTTTCTTTGCCTGCATTTGTGTTCACAGTACAGCTCAGGCTTCGTGTCTAGTGGACGAGCCCAAGCAGATAGGCCAGTACAAGTACCCCGAGCAGCTTCCAGGTCAACTGTATGATGCTGATATACAGTGCAAATGGCAGTTTGGCTCGAAAGCTAAACTTTGCAGCCTGGACTTCGTAAAGGTAACCAATAGTGTGTAAAATATGCTATTAGGCTTCTCTTCATAGTTGGAGCATTTCAGTGGAACACAAGTTGGAAACTTCAAACAATGCCTCAATAGAATTCACAGAGATTGAGTTCATTTAGAGTCTCAGATATTTAAATGTGCTTCAACCTGTTATGTTTGTGTGTGGAGACATCATGATCAACACAAACACACATCTGAGCTTTGGAAAGAAAACAATCTACTGAGAGGAAACCCATTGCCTCAAAATCTACTCTAAGTCTTCATTCACAGGTTCAACAAAGATGGACAGGGCCCCCTTTGGCATCCGCTGTAGCCTTTAGCGTCTAACGCACACATTGATATGCAAATAGTTATGCTTGGGAAATGAACATTGTGAGAGTCTATCTGTGGGATTAGCTCTCATGCTATGGACTTCCTCTTTGAGAGATCCCTGTTGCCTTTGTGCGCTTCGGAGACCTTGTACGTGCTCTGAAAAGAGTCTTGAACATCGACCTTGATGGAAGGCAGCTGTACATCTTAATTAAGAACGATTGTGCAGATAAAACCCAATGTTTTTGTTTTCTATCCCCCCCACCCAAGCCATCCTGTCCTTGTCACAAAGTTGTTGAGATGTAATTAGCCGTGGGAGCTAGCGGCGTTAGCTAGCCAATGATCCAGAGACCAGTGTTGCTAGCTTTTGTAAACCATGTCTCTCTCTCACTGTCTGCCAGATGCAATCGGGCCGTCGGCCAGCAGTGGCCGGTCTCCCAACCCCTCATCACCCATTATTATCATTGTATTGTGGGAAGAAACAAAATGCAACGATAATAGCGTCTTTCTTTTGGGCAGCACAGTGATTGATTTTGACAGGCTTTTTTATTTGTTGGGAAAGTTGATTGGCCATTGCTGTAGAAACAAGAGGTCGGCGTGGTGAGGTGCAAGCAAGGGAGGTTGAAGGGTTCCCAGCGGGTGTAGGCCCGTTTTTGACTGTGCTCTCTGTGTGTTCGTGCCCACCAGGACATGTGTAAATCATTGTGGTGCCACAGAACAGGACACCGGTGTGAGACCAAGTTCATGCCTGCTGCCGAGGGCACCATCTGCGGACCAGACATGGTGAGTGAGTGCTTATCTGTTCACCCTGAACACACTGAACCACCGTTAAGGAGGAACATGAACTGACCAGTCTCTCTCACCATCTTTTCTTCATTTACACCTGCAGTATTTTTCTCTACTTTGTGTAAATGTTCCATAAGGACAGTTGGTGCTTTCCACTGGTTGATGGGGATGAGAGGTGCTGATGTGTGGGACTGTGTGGCTTGGCTAGGCCAAGTCCTGCTGTCCAGGTGTAACTCTGGGCCCCATCCCAATCCAGCAGGCCCAAGATCTTCACAGAAACACTTTCTCCTTTTCCTCACTTTCCCTCTCATACCGTGTCTTCTCTTTGACATGGAAAAAATCAGTTTGCCTGATAGTAGTTTGCTATCTCTGTTGAAAAAAAGGCATATGCTGGTAAGGTAGTGTTTTGAAGCATGGCAGCTGGTTTGAGCTGGTTTAAGCTGGTCCTTATTTGATCATGAGCTGGTTTAAGCTGGTCAGGACCAGCTCATAACCAGCTCAGGACCAGCATAAACCAGCTAAAACCAGCTGCCATGCTTCAAAACATACATAACCAGCATATACTGTTTTTTCAACAGGGATCTCCTTGTCTACCACACAAACACTGATTTTGGTGGCTGTTTTAAATATAAACACATTTCTGTGAGAATAAAACAATGAGATAATTATGACATATGAGCCAAGACTAATACAATAACTAAAACCAAACTTATTTATAAAAATGGAGATATATAAAGTTGGAGTTGTGAAATAATATAAATTATTGCAAGAAATAGTCATAATCACAAGACTGTGAGATATAATAATAACATTGTGAGATATAAGGTTGTAATTGCAAGATATAAAGTCACAGTATGATAAAAAAAAAAAAACGAATTCAGAATTGCCGATCAGTGTTCAAGATTCTTTAATTTCCTTTTCCATAATGCAGTGGTGCCGGAGAGGACAGTGTGTCAAATTTGGTGATCATGGTCCTAGAGCAGTGCATGGCCAGTGGTCGGGATGGTCCGAGTGGTCTGACTGTTCACGCACTTGTGGTGGAGGGGTCATGTACCGAGAACGATCCTGCAACAGCCCCAGGTAACCAAAAACTCAAAGATGAAACCCATTCATGCCAAGATAATGACCAGTGTTGGGTTACTCTAAAAAGTAATTAATTACTAGTTACTAATTACATCTTCAATAGTGTAATTAGATTACTGTACAAATTACTCTCTCCAAAAAGTATTTAATTAATTATTACTAATTACTTTCTAAATCCTATATCAAAGTAAATGAATGATACAAGGATAGACATGTAACAGTTCTTTTAATTCTTTCAAATAAATAATAGATAACTACATAAATTCTTCTGGTCACACTTTAGATTAGGGTCCAATTCTCACTATTAACTAAATATTTACTATGAACTAACTATACTTTTGCCTCAATATACTCTCCTAATTACTGCTTATTAATACTTAATAAAGTAGTTGTTGACAATGAAGTTTAAGAATTTGGTAGGAATTGGGTAGAATTAAGGATTTAGAATAAGGTCTTGCAGAATAAGGCATAAGCACATAATATGTGCGTTTTAAGTCATAATAAACAGCCAACATCCCAGTAATATTCATGCTAATAACCAACTAGTTAATAGTGAGAACTGGACACTAAAGTGTTACCAATATTCTTATTAACTCACCAAAGTATGTAAAGTGAGAAGGTTACATAGAAAGCATGCATTTTAAGGTTAGACTTTAAATTTTGATGTTAAATCCACTATTGTACTGTATTGTATATAAATGTTCTACAATGTATACACAGTATTAAGTTCAATTACATAAGAAGTAACTGTAATTAAATTACAGAAAAAGAAAGAGTAATCCCTTACTTTACCTTTTTTCAAGGGAAAAGTAATTAAATTACAGTAACTAATTACTTAGTAACTATTTACACCCAACACTGATAATGACACATTATTATATATTTTTTTTGAGTGAACAATCTATTATGCATTTGAACAATAGGGTTAAATTCAGTTTTGTGTTTATGTGAGAGAAAATCCATGTAAATATGGCGTCTGATTGCAAAATGATCTTATTTAACACTAGAACCGCTTTTAGGTCGCTGTATACCTAAAAGCGCCAGTGGGTAAATTTGACCCACGCACATGACAACTGTATTTATATGGCTAAAGAACATATTAATTCACTGTATTATGCCACTGTCTTCACAAAGAAGTGTCTAGAGTCATGAAATGATTATGTCTAGTCATCAACTATATTTTTATCCTGTTGTTTTATGTTCAAGACTTTTTAATGCAGGCTACACTAATCCATAACTGTCTGTAGCCTAAGCTAAAAAAAAAAGCCTGCACAATAACCCATGCTATTTAAATGACTAAAATAGCCTATAGACAATAATGAGCAATAATAAATCACCACACTGCATAGGATGATGCGATGATGCGAAAAATTCAAGCGCACAGCTTCACCTAAATATTTATTAATTTGTTTAGTTATATAATTTATAATTTGAATAAGAGAACAACACCATTAAACTTTGGGTAATCAAAAAACGGTTTTATTCAAAACATCATATAGATCGGATTTTTTTTTCTTTAGGAAACGGCCAGACTAGAATAGCAACACATTAGCGAGCAATAAATGATATGGCAAGACAAAAATTAAATAATTAAACCAAAGTTTGACCAATTAGAGTAACGTGAGGCTAAAACATGTAAATATGATATCTGGATCACTGTCAGATGAGCCGTCAGATGCTGAGCCGACCCAGGACGCATAACTTACCATCAGACTCCCCATCACTCATGGCATTTAGTGTTTCTAATACCTACCTTCCATAAATCGCCTTTTTTTAGTCATTTTGACTTTCTTCATGAAACTGATAACTGCTAAATCAGTGAGTGAAAGGCGTTGCCTAGAAATGTACAGTGTTAAAACATAAGCAGCATGAAAATGACAGCGGGAAAATACATGCAATATATAGGTGGGTAAATGTGACCCGCTGGCGCTTATAGGTATAAATGCCCCGTTTTTTGATCTGGTTTTATCTAAATAATTTTTAACAACATTGGATTGTAAATTACATAATTTTAGTAAAAGTCAATGACTGGGAGACTTGAATGTTTTATTTTAAATCTGTTTTGTACATTTGAAAAACAGCCACGGGTAAAATTTACCCCGTGGCGGTTCTAGTGTTAAATATTGTGCTCTGGTCGGTTGTTTATGCTAATTAAAACTATCACTGCAGTAAAAATTTAATAGCACTTTTTCACCGTAAGGCTGCCATGAATGATAGATTAGCTGTGAATGGTAGAAGCACATGTGTTTCCTGACCAAGTGACCTGCTGCGACTTCTAGATTACCCCTGAACTTTGACACACTGAGTAATCTTGGATTAAGTGTATCTCGGTATGTCATGGTTCACTCTTTTAGAGTATATCTACAGAGTACTCAGATAATTGCAGCTTATAATCATTCCAGCACTAGAAAGAATAAATAGAAAGTCATTTAAAAACAAACAAACAATAAATAAATATTTACATGTATGCATTTGCCAGATGCTTGTATCCAAAGGGACTTACATTGTATTTATGGTATAAAGCAGGATTGTTTAAGATTTGAGTGTCTGTCAAATAGTAGATTGAGTTTTTGTGCGTTTAGGTTCAGGTGCTTCCTCTCTGTATGTGGTGGCAGGTTTATTTGAGATTGGGTTTCTATAGACCACAGGTGGCTCTACATGTGGTTTGGTCAAGCTGATGGAACATGGAATTGTGCTTCATCAACATTTGGCTGTCTAGAGCATCTTAACATATTTCTGTTGGAATAGGAAATACTTATAATCAGAGGCGGACAGTAACTAAGTACATTTACTTGAGTATTGTACTTAAGTACACTTTTTGTGTGTCTGTACTTTACTTGAGTATTATTGTGTGAGATCACTACCATCCTGCTTTTGTGGGGGTGGGTATAGGGTGTTAATTTTTCCCCCCCCATAGGTTTTTAACATTCTAAAAGCTCTTTATTCCAAAGAATACTACAAGCTAGTCAGTGTATTCAGTAGGTGTAATGTATTCTAAGTTGCTTCAGAAGTATTGTAAGTACTACGTACAACAACAAAACAGTGCATTGACATAAAAAAGGAAATTTACTTTTGGTACTTAAGTACTTTTAAAAGCAAGTACTTCTGTACTTTTACTCAAGTAAAAATCTGTCTTTACAACTTTTACTTGTAATGGAGTAATATTTGACCAACAGTATCTGTACTTTCACTCAAGTAATAGAGTTGAGTACTTTGTCCGCCTCTGCTTATAATGCCTTAGACAGCCAGACCAACATGTCTGACATGAACAGTTCCAGTAAAGAAAGAAAGAAAGCAAGAAAGAAACTATTCAAAGTGATGAGTTGAAGTGGAGAATTTCCTTAAGGCCCTGGAAATACCCAGGAAAATAATCATTGTGTGTTTGTTAAATTTGGTTCATATGAAACATTAAATTGGGCACATATGATCTATATTATCCATTGTGATCTCATACAAAGTGATTAGGTAGCTTTAAAGATTAGGTTGATTTAAAGATCCTTTACATAGATGCACAACATTTGGACAGATGCTGCAATATGATTGCTTTTTTGGAAGCATGTTGCTAGAAAAGAGCAGGCACTTCCCACTCTATTGCAAGACAATAAAGTGTTTTCAGTGTGAGTGATTTAATGTTTTCTTTTTTTGTCCTGATTTTGTTGATATTAGTTCAATGGCAGCTGATCCACAGAGAGAGGCTTAGCTGGGCTTGACTTTAAGGCAGAAATTCCACTATAACCTGATTTTTGGGGAGGTATTAGCCTCCATTTTCTCTATCAGTGTCACCCCAATAATGGTTTAGTAAAAATAAGACAATATCGCTGCTTTTCACACTGCAGTCAAGTCCGAATATTTCACTCGGAAATGTTTCAAAAGAGGTATTTTGATGGACAATCTTCCCTTGCGGCTCTCAGACAGCACCTGCAGCAGAATAGGTGTTGGTATGTCTTCTGTTTGTGGCGGTGAGGTTCAAGGAGAATCCCTATACTCATCACTTCAGTATAAGGTCCTCAGGAGACAGCTGTTGAAGCCAGAGGCATGAGATGTCATCTCGCTCAAACAACATTTATCAATAAATATGATCTGATAAATGTGCTCCCATGACTTTATCCATACTCAGCTGCCAGATTTACAGGTTCATGTGTCTTTGATATGAGTGCTTGAGAAATACATCTCTTGGCAACAGCGTAGTGGAGATGGTTGTTGATGGGATTGCCTTTTTGAAGTTTGTTTACCATACAGGATACAGTGTTAACTAACAGATTATGGGTAGCATTAATGCACCATTACCAGAGGGCAAATTTGAAAGAGTAGGATGCATGTACAATCACCCTCAGGTCTTCGGAAAGCCCCTAACAAACAAACGATTAAACTTCATTGCATCATTGTTTGGTATTGTTTATTTATACGTAGAGGGCTCTGTTTTAATGGCTTGACTTTAAAGTGGATATCTAATGGCTAACAGTGTGGGCATAATGAGAGTTTGATTAAAAAAGGAGGTCTTAGAGATGGGAGATGTATTGAGAGAGTGGGGTAGAGAACGATGTGGGTCTATGTGTGGAGTTTTTGGAGAGATTCAGGCAAGCAGACAGACAGGGTGACCCTGTTTCCTCTGAAGTTTGCACTTATACTGCTGTTCTGAGATTTAACATTCCCCAGTTGGAAAATGATGCTACAAAGACTTGTAGACAAAGAGAAAAAGAGAATAATGTTCCCTTTTGCCAACAAGTCTTGTGTGAAGTTTAGCATGTAGCACAAAATTGATTTGGGCACAGTTATTTCAACGTCTAATCAGAAAACATGCACTTGCCCCCCTGCCTCTTCTCTTTCAATCTCTCTCTCTGTGCTCTGTGTGTTTTTGTAACTGCTCTACCATATGGGCCCATAGTACACTGTCGCTAAAGCTCTAATAGGATCAGCCTGAAAATCTGCTCCTAAAACAAAAGCAGACGTGCACAAACAGCTGCCTGACAGCACTGTTAGACTATCATTGCTCTCTCTGGCTTCTCCTGAAAAGTGAGGCATAATTTCCCAATGCAACATGTTTATACACGCCCATAGATCAAAGGTTTCCAGACTTTTTCATGCCAGGATGCACCTAGAAATGTGTAATCTTTTATGAGACCCCCCCCCCCCCCCCCCCCCCCAAAAAAAAAAAAAAAAAATGATTATTGAAGTTTTTATTAAAGTAATTTAATATATAGTATTTGCCTATATATTTTTGTAGGGCAACCTGGACTTTAACATCACTCTGCTTCCCTCAACAAAAACCTTTGGATTATTGCAAAAAAAAAAAAGCTTTGTGACCTACAAAAGTTTATGATTCTTATATGTTTTGGTGAAGATAATCTTCACAAATTAACACAACTTTTATTAACTAAAATAGGCTATAAACAAACTACTCCACTGTTACACAACTTCAAAGTCACCCGCAAGTTTCCAACCAATCTTTTGATCTTTACTTAAAATTTACAAGCTGGAATGTTTTAGTTAGCATAGTTTGCAAGGAGCCGAGTATAAACACAGTGAGGCTGTAAAAGCACACTAGTGAGTAGATGAGTTTACCTATTCTGCGTGACAACCTCTGTAGTCCTATTTAGCCACTTGTTAGCTACAACCTTATTTGAAGACACGTAAAAGCTTAAACAACAAGTGGGGTATTACTGAGGTATTTTTGTAAAATAAAACGTAAAAATGTGCTGAATTTTTTTTTTTTTAAATGCGCTTGTGTTAACCACTGACCTTATTTCAGACATTTAATCAAAAACACATTGACTTTGACAGGACGGAAACAGAAGTTAAAAAATGCTGGAATTTACTGTTCAGTAAGCGAGTCACATGTCGATCCAGTAGGCACTCTAATGGATTTGATGAGTTAAATCGATAGAATCAATTACTCAAATTGATAAAAAATTTAGTTCTTTGTAAACAGTTCATTAAAATAATCAGCTCTTTAGAGCCATTTGTTCAGCTGGTCGCACTGTATGTTTGCGTTCATCTGAATGCACCACCATTCTATGACCCACTTATTTCCACTCTGCAGAGTCAAGACCCACAGTTTGAAAACGGCTGTTCTAGACAATGCAACTATGTTGTCAGTTTTCAGAAGAAAAGTCATTCATTTATCTCACTGTATGTGTTTTCCCCATGCTTTCTCTGTTTGATCACTGTACATGAATAAAGATGATGAGTGATTTTTCAAAGTGTGTGGAAGGCTCATCTGTCCTCTCTGTGAGCGGTTTCCTAACCTCAAGTGTGAACATGCAATAAAAAGCTAAAGGCCAGAGACTAAAGGAACATGCACAGGCACACACACACACATTGACAGGCCCATGGCGCAGTCCTTTGCTTTGAGGTTAGGCTACAAGAGGGTACCCAAGAGTCTTCCACTTTAAACATGCAGCCATGCCGCAAGCATGCCTCCGCTCTCACAGCCTCAGTTACAGGAGTTGCTGGACCGCTTTTCCCTCAGGAAAGATGGTGACTGTCTGCTTCATGTGGCACTTGGAGGCATTCCTGTGGCATTGGGAGGAGGCTACCGCTCTTCTCCAGCCTCAAGCTGCCTCAGCAAGACAGGGTGACGGTTTGAACACATTGTCTAGAGCCTCAGGGCTGACCTATTATGATATCCAGCCTTGCTTGCAAGAGTTGGCCATTACAGGTTTTAGAGAAGCAAAGATGAATGAATGAATTTCCATGTTGTTCCAAGCTGGTTTATGTTAGTTTGATGGTTGTTTTTTTTTTGCTAGATAAGCCAGAAAATCACTGTTTATCAAGGTCAGCTTGTTGGTGGACTAGTTAAGAAAACATGGTATTGGCCATCCAAAACAAACCATTTTTCAACCAGGTTTCCTATTTGGCTGCAAGCAAGTCGACTCAGATAACACAATGTGTAAAGTACATCAGCACAGCTGTGTGTTGTCTTGTTCTCATTGAAGATTATTATTCAAAAATCATAGCTTTTAAAAACACAGGCGAGTCCAAGTCATGAATGGAACTGAATCCCAAACACTTTATATCTTTTACAGCTGTCAGTTGGGATGTGATTCAGTCAGACACATCACCGATAACACACAAAGATATTCCCTTAGTGCAGATGCTAATGCACATCATATGAAATGCATTTCACCAGCCCCTCTTCCAAAAAATACCGAATGGCTGTCATTCCTCTAGCGTGTTGAATACTTGCTGATGCACATCTGTTTCTTCTCCTTCTCGCTCTCTCTCCTTGCTTCCATGTTCGCTTGTGCTAATTGCTGGTTGTTTCACTCAAGCCCACAGCACAACGGCAAGTTCTGCCAAGGCCCCAGTCGACTGCACCAGCTGTGTAACACCAAGCCATGCCAGCCCAATGGAGTGGACTTCAGAGCTCAGCAGTGCACCGAATACAACAGCAAACCCTTCAGGGGATGGTACTACAAATGGAAGCCATACACCAAAGTGGAAGGTATGGGAGATATTTGGGCCTTAATGCATTCATTACGAACAAAAGCAAATGTCTCATTAACAGCTGGAAGAGAGCACAGTAAACCACTGCTGTGGGTTCAAAATCCCCATGCGTCTTCATTTACTGGACGAGCGAGACTCACACTTTTTTTTTCAAAAAGGAATGTATTATAAATATATGAGTTCAGTCAGCTTTTATAAGATTTTTTAAACATTTTTTAAAAAAGTCTCTTTCGCATTTATTTAATCAAAAATACAGTAAAACAGTAATATTGTTAAATATTACATTTAAAATAGCAGCTATTACTCCAGTCTTACGTGTCACACAATTCTTCAGAAATCATTCTAATATGCTGATTTGGTGATCAAGAAACATTTCGTATTATTATCATCCATGTTGAAACCAGTTGCTTAATATTTCTGTGGAAACGGTGACACATTTTTGTTCATGATTCCTTTATGAATAGAACAGCATTTATTTCAAATTGTTTAACAGTGTAAAATTGTGTAAAACCTGTGTAAAACCTGTATTGTCACTTTTTCACCAATTTAGTGCATCATTGTTGAAAAAAAAAAAAAACTTACTGACCCTCAAAATTTTAAACGGTAGCCTACATGTAACCTTGTCTGACATAACTAACAACAAACCTCTAAAACACATTCATCTCAGACTTTACCTGCTTAGTTTTTAATACCCTCTGTTATCTGAGTCAGCAAGAACAGCTGTGTTTTTAAATAGTAATCATTCTCGTTAGTTTCTGACAGTATGCATTGAGATTGTTACATAGGACAAATATATTCCACCCAAGCAATTCATCTCCCCTAATGTGTGTTGTCTAAGCTGTGCATGGATTTGGACTGGAAACATGTATCCACTCGTTCTGTGAGTGCAGTGCACTGATCAACCCTGTAGGCAGGTTTGGACCTGAATAGGACCCTGTATGTGTATTTATGCTTTCTTATGTGTTAGCGGACTGGGAGTGAAAAAGGGAAAGGATAGCAACAATTGGGTACTGTCCTGTCAGATTTTTGAAAACTAATGAGAAAGACCAGTGCGGTGAATGGAGCTCCATGCTCTAATCAGTAGGTTGTGTGTTTCAGTGGCTAGTACAGGTGTTAGTGTAGTGTAGTGGTTCTACTCCCTGCACTTGCTCTGAGTGCGATTCGAACCAGCATTTCTGGTATGGGAGGTGGATGCCCTAACAAAGTCGATAAAGACTTCAGTCTCTAGCGTCAGTCGCTAACGCGCCTCTTGAGATAAGGGGAGTGAGGTTTTACCTGCACAGCTCTTACTAGCAGGCCTTCATTACATTAGGAATCACTTACCCCAGTTTGACTGGAATTTTGGAGTCAGATCAAATTGGATTAACCACTGATGTGTCCTATTGTTAAGTTTCGCTTGCCCTCCTCTCTACTTTTAAGGGCATTATTCAGCTTTTATTGTTAGGTTTACTGTTTAGTTTTCTATTCAGCTAGACCTGTACGTCTGTAACAATATCATTTGTTTTCCTTTGAAGTAAAAGCACAATAATTATGATCTAATATGTTTCTAAAAAAAGAGAGAAAAAAATCTAACAGTTCATACTGAGTTGTTGTATTGAATGAGCCTGTATTTGTGTGAGGATGCAGATGCAGCTCTGATAGGTCCATATTTTTCTCTCAGTAGGAGAGTTGGATATAGTCGCCTCTCTTGCATTCCAGCTTTATGGGCCCATTTGTAACAGAGTTTAAAATTTTAGTGCAACATGTGTTCTGTGGCTATGTTCTCTACAGCATGGTGAGCCTTCCAGTTGCTTCGCAGCCAACCACACACAGCTTAAACATGCCCAGTAATTAGCACTAGACAGTAGTACACATCTGCATTGTGTCTGCTAAAAATAAATGATGCATGACGGACAGCAAAGTTCTGTCTTTTATGTATTGATGACTCTCAGACGAAAGGTTAAAATAAAGTCACATTTATTTTAATTTAATAAAAATTTATAATTTAATAATTTAATTTAATTTAATTTAATTTTGTTTTATTTTATTTTCAAACTGAAATGTAATGTATGGGAATCATTGATAATGTGGGTTTGTGAGTTTTTGCATGCTTTTCAAAGAATTGTTTTCCATTTTACATGAAAGTCTTTTGACCTGACATTTTGTCTGAAAAATGTTCACAGGATTATTGCTCCATATGTCCTCATGCGTGAGACTTCATAGCAGCATGTCGAGGGTGCCAGTACACAGCCTTAGAAGATCTAACATAAAATCACTCTGACGCTATAAGATCTAATGACCCCATCCATCTCCTATCTAGAAGAGGACATCTGTAAGCTGTACTGCATTGCTGAGGACTTTGATTTTTTCTTCGCTATGTCCAGCAAAGTCAAAGATGGGACGTCTTGCTCTGACTACAAAGGAGGCGTGTGCATTGATGGGATATGCAAGGTACGTGAGGAGGTGATGATTCTGAGATGGTCATATTTCGGGCATCAATTGATTGACATCAGCATTTTGTTATATTCATCAGGCCTAGTGGGCTAAACTGTGTGTGTCAGTTAAATTTTTTTTGTTTTAATAACTTTTCCTGTGTAGCCGGTGGGCTGTGACCAGGTGTTGGGATCAAAGGCCGCTTTGGATGCCTGTGGAGTGTGTAAAGGAGACAACTCCACCTGCAAGTTCTACAGTGGCCAGTACACCCTCCAGCACAGAGCCAATGGTAAGGCTCTCGCAGAGCATGTTTCTTTCATACCTTCTGATCTTCTCTGACAAATCAATATTTTGAAGAGAATAGCAGGCTTCAAGAGAAAGAAACCAGGAGTAAATCATTATAAAATAATAGAAAAATGCCTAAAGCAGTGGTTCTCACCTGGGGTGGTTCTTATTTTTATCAGTGTTGAAAACAGTTTACTATTTTAATGAAAACCATGGCACATTTGTCTTTGATCAAATAGAAATCTTGTAACATAAATGCCTTTAAGGTCACTTTTGATCAATTTAATGCATCCTTTCTCAATTAAGAGTTATTAATAAAATCTTACTGATCCCAAAGTTTTGAATCTTTCACAAATTGGTACTGTATATAGGTGTATTTGATTATTCTGATTTGACTAAAAAAGTTTGAGAACTAGTGCCCTTTAATAAAGTATAATAAGAGATCATAGAATCTCTTTAGAGCTCCTCTCCTCAGACTTAACAGAAAACGGCAATGTAATTTTTAGAGCACTTACACAGCAGGAGCTCTTGCAGGTCTGGCTCCTCATAGCATAGAGGTGATAATGCATCAGCTCAAATATGCCTGTTCCCTCTGGCCTTTAAAAATGCAGAAACTGCAAAAGTGAGCAGACATGGCAAACCTATTTTCCCTTTTTTCCATCTTTTCAGAATATTACCCTGTTGTGATGGTTCCCGCTGGAGCGAGGAGCATCAGGGTGCAGGAGATGGAGATCTCCACCAGCTACCTGGCTGTCCGCAGTCTGAAACGTGGTACCTACTACTTGACGGGGGACTGGACGGTGGACTGGCCTGGCAGGTTCCAGTTCGCAGGCACTACGTTCAACTATCAACGCTCTTTCAACCGGCCTGAGACCTTGTACGCTGCAGGCCCCACTAATGAGACCCTGCTCTTTGAAGTGAGTCACCCCCATCCCCATCCGTCCTGACACCTGTTAGCGAATTAGCCATGACAGGGTCTTGGCATGAGTGCCGTGGCCATTCGGTCAGATGAAAACAAGGCTGAGGGACAGTGGGTGAGTGAGAGAGATGAGAAACAAATGAGGGAAAGATAGAGAGAGAGACAGAAGAGAAGGCACACAAATGAGTCGAACGGGCAGACTAACGCCTCTGTTTGGGATTAATTGCAGGCCAGATCCGACGTGGTCATTGTGACTTTCATCTTCAGTATGTAGAGATTCGAGATCAAACGGTGTGACAATGTGAATGGCACTAAGCTTTGAACTCGCTGCACTGTGTGCTCTTGCTAATGGGCAGCGCAGGGCACCGCTTACATGAAGGGTGATGGTATGGGTTCAAATGACCTTTGAGGTTAAGTCGTAGTAAGGACACTTCATATATCTGCACAAATCTGAAGTGTGGATAAGAGAGCTCTTTCGATTTCAGAAGAATCATTTACGCCTTTTATCGAAATTGTGTTTGACTGTAGTAGTTCTGTGGGCTGATATGTAATGTTACGTGTGCACTTGGAAAGAGAATTTGCTTATCCATGATGCAGCATTATTTATATATTACGGTAAGATTTGTTATCTCCAGGCAAAAAAAAAATGTCTCAGGAAAACAACTTTGCATATGTTGAGGTACTGGAAAATGAATAAGATCTTGTGATAACGTCAAGCTTAATACATTTTTTTTATTTGACCTCAAGCTTAAGAGAAATTAAGTCAAGATTTCAAGTAGATGTTATGTCTATGTTATGTCAAAATCTAGAAAACATTAAGTTAAAATTAAGAATAATGCTGTAACACCAAATAATTCAATATTTATGCTGCCAAAATTGTATTGTAACCAATCAAAATGTCACTGTAAAGATTGAATGAATCATTTGAACTCTAAGAAAGATTAACATGATGGTATATTTGAATTACTTCACTTACCAGTTAAAACAAATGCAGATCCATTATATCATACTTCCAATTTTCTTTTGTTACCAACACCTCAAGCTGTTAAAAATCAATTTGGCCTTGATACTATTAGGTGTTGTGTAAGTTGTACAAAAGTTAGGCATGCTTCATTTAATACTCTTTCATTTCTCTAAGAAAGATTAACATGATGGTATATTTGAATTACTTCACTTACCAGTTAAAACAAATGCAGATCCATTATATCATACTTCCAATTTTCTTTTGTTACCAACACCTCAAGCTGTTAAAAATCCATTTGGCCTTGATACTATTAGGTGTTGTGTAAGTTGTACAAAAGTTAGGCATGCTTCATTTAATACTCTTTCATTTTGATCTTATTTACTGGCCTTTGATCTGCACCGCACTCAACCTGTGCTTTACCTGCATGCAGCATTCCTCTTCAGCCCACATGCCCTCTCTTCATTACGATTTCCCCAGGGTGGGCGGTGGCGGCAGAGGTCTGATTTGCAGATGAGTTGGCATTAATCTCTCTAAGTATGCTCTGTAATTTCAAAAAAAAGAGGAGGGTAGAGAGAGATTAAAAGATTAAGATTTCTGCAATTGAACTCAATAGATCAGAGAGGCTTGGGGTCACGATTCGAGGGAAGCAGCTGGTCAATCTCTCTCAGTTTAACATGCTATGGAAAATTGATAAGTATCAGCTTCAAGACCCTTATTGAATGCTTAGGAAAATGCATTTCGAGAAATGTAAATGTAAATGTTGACATGGTTCCAGAGCTTGTAATCAGCTCAGCAATGTGGATTGAGAGGCACTAGACGAGACATAACAGAGCAGTTCCCTTCAAACTTGACGTGCTTCTGATTTAAACACTTTTTAGGATTTAAGTATTGACATTCTTGTGGCATGTCTTAAGAGGGTCATACCAGTCCAGAGTGATTCATTTAGATGTGGTATCTGTGCTCACATTCATCAGTCTTTCATTCACACGTTTCGTCTTGACCGTAGGAACTGCTACGCTTCTAGCCAGGGCACAGTTGGATTTTTGTGTTGTAACCCTATACTGAGAGTGCTTGATAATGAACCTGTCCTAGTAGTCCTGTTCAACAGTTTAGTAATTACCTCAGATTTTCCATCATTATTCAGAATGACTAGGGTGAAAGATAAAGAGGGGGCGTCTAGAGCGAGAAGCTCATGAAATTGAGCTTTCATTGCAACATAAGACAAAAGAAGATGCAGGGAAGCCTCAGAAAACTTGCTTTTATAGTATTTGGATGGGGAATGATGTTTTGCATGTTGAATCGATGTTCAAAATTGTGATTCTTGTTACATATGTTAAGAGTGAAACTCTAGACTTCCTATATCAGAGCACAGACATGGTGCAATGGACTCTTGCGGGTCTTGACACTGGATCAGAAGACGTAGAGTTTCCCCATGTGTTGTATCCATAGTCAGATGGCTAGCTGGATCACAGATGGATCAGAGACCTCCTCCTGAGCCTGATTCTGGAATAGCTGCTCTGTGTTGAGTGCCAACTGTAAATCTGGACCAGCTTTGAACAGGCTAGCGTGCAGGGTCTCATGGACTGCTTCCAGGGCAATAGATTCATCCTGGATGCTCAGTGGGAGAGTGAGCCAAGATACAGTATGTTAAAAAGTTTGCTAACTTGCCACTCTGTTTCAATATACTTGTTTTACTTCCTCTGGAAATTCTCCATCCTTCAAATACCGCCTTTGTTTGATTCGCACAATGTCTTCTGCTGTTCTGTTGATAGATTCTTTCCTCCTGTTGATAGATTCTTTCCTCCTCTACAGGTCTGGACTTACTTGAGTTATGTTCAGTTAGTGGTTCTGTCTCAACATTCACCTGCATCTCTTTGAACATGCAACATGAATTCACATGAAATCATACCTCTTCATCTGCAATGTCAAACATAGTCATGACACTAAACTGAACCCAAGTTTGGCTAGTAAAGATTTTGGATGGTTTTAGATAACCCAATAATCTGACAGAGCACTGAGACTCTTTTATTGTGTTTAGTGCGACTGATTTAAGGATAATCTTCCCACATCAGCAGCAGCCCGCCATACACTTCCTGTTCAAAACATTAACTGAGGGTAAATCCATAGTAATTAGAGGATGGGTGGCATCTGCCTAATCCGCTGCTTAAGTTCAGCAATTACTGTTGGCTTGTGCAAACATTGCTGCAATTATTCCGTGACCCTTAAAATTCGATCCTTGTTTAGCTGCTTTGTTTATACTTTCTACATATAGTTTGGTGGTTTACCAGTTCCAGTGAATTTGGTGTCATTGCATTTTTATTACAAATAGTCTGAGGAAAATCCCCATGTGGCAAAATCTGAGTAAAAACAAAGGTCCTCTTCTTGTCGGAGAACATTTCCACTCCATTAGAGTTATCCTCAGGCTGTCCTCAGTGGCCTTGGGCACGGATTTAGTGAGGAACTGGCTGAACTTCCTCTGTGGTCTAGTCTCACATGAATGACTACAATATCTTCTCCAGGAACAGCTTCAAAACTGTAGCATACAGGCCTACTGAAACATAAGCATCAATGTAAAACTTGCTGGGAAATAAAGTCTCACAGTATACCACTATATGAAAATATTCAGATTCACCCAACCCACAGTTTGGTCCACTTGTGCCGTTTTCCAAACTGACAAGCTTCAGTTCAAACACATGGACAGTCTAATTCAAGCATCTCTTTAAATCAGGGTCACTAGAAGCACTGTGGTGTCATCTCTCAGTCCCAATGAAGCTACAGCCACAAAACAGCAGCAGACACTTTGGCACATTCTGCCTTGCTGGACTATGAAGTCATCAAGTCGTGGCCTAATGGTTAGAAAGTCGGACTCGTAACCCAACGGTTGCGGGTTTGAGTCTCGTACCGGCAGGGATTGTAGGTGGGGAAATGTACAGCGCTCTCTCCCACCTTTAATACCACAACTGAGGTGCCCTTGAGCAAGGCACTGAACCCCCAATTGCTCCCCGGGCGCTGCAGCAAAAATGGCTGCCGGGTGACTCTGGGTGTGTGTTCACGGCGTGTGTGTGCAGTTTGGATGGGATAAATTCCGAGTATGGGTCACCATACTTGGCCACATGTCACTTCACATGAACGTTAACAGTTCAATTTCAGTCAGACTAAAACAATAATTTGAGTTTTTAAACAACTGAAAGCATGTATGTATCTTAATCGGACTACAAGTGGCCTCATTAGTGTGTGCACTGAAACACAGAGGCATTCAAAAGTATGGGGTTAGTAATGTTTTTATGTTTTTGAAAAGAAGTTTAGTATGTTCACCGTGGCTGCTTTTATTTGATCAAAAATAAAAGTAAAAATAGTAATACTGTGAAATATTATCATGATTTAAAGTCTCCATTTTATATTTGTATATATTTTAAAATATAAGTTATTCCTGTGATGGCAAAGATGCATTTTCAGCATCATTATTCCAGGCTTCAGTGTCACATGATCCTTCAGAAATTGTTCTAATATGCTGATTTGGTGCTCAAAAATATTTCTTATGTGTAACTATTATCAATGTTGAAAATGCATCATGGACTGTTTGTGTTTTTAAGCATTCTTTTATGTTTGAAGAATGGCCTTTATTTGAAATAGAAATTTTTTGCAAAATTTTAAATGACTTTTATTTTTTTATGAATTTAATGCATCATTGCAGAATCCAAATATTACATTTCTATCAGTTTCTCCAAACCTTTGAACAGTAGTGTATACTTGGATAACCAGAAACCTGTTGCTTGATTGATTTTACTAACCCATGACCATCTCTTCTCCTCCACAGATTCTTCTTCAGGGTAAAAATCCTGGTATATCATGGGAATACACTCTACCACATCCGGAGAAGAAGCACAACTACACCTGGTCCGTGGTGCGCTCTGACTGCTCGGCGCCTTGTGCTGGGGGTGAGTGGATGCTGTATGTACGGTAAAGTTTACTTTGTTGACTCAAGTGTGAGAGAGCAGAGTTTCTGTGGTTGTGTGTTGGTGAGGAAGGAAGTGTATGTGTGTATTTGTCCAGGTCCATCAAATGCACCTTTGTGAGCAAAGTAAAAAACAAAACAAAAGTGCACCCCTCCTTCCTCCAGACCTCCGAATCACATTGGCTCATCTCTGTGGTAGTGGCTCCTCCATTCACAGTCAGTTGTCTGAGTGTTGGTGGCAGACAGACAGCACTATGACATGCCCAGAGCACAGATCTCTATCTGCGCTCTCACACAGTTTCATTCATGCTTTTCTTTAGAGCAGACCTCTGGGCCGCCCCTCCTGGCCTCTCACACTGACAGAGGCCCGGCTTTGTTTGCCACAACAGAAGCCACGCTACAGTACTGCCATTCATCCTGAGCTCTCATAATCCCCAGAAAGACTATTCACGGACAGTGTGCTCTAAGCTTTCCTTTTCAAAAATTGCTCAGAGGATGCATTAGTTTATCGCATGATAAAGACATATGTTAGGCCGGGTCAGAGGGATGGATCTCTGTCAAATGTCCAAAGGAAGTAGTTGTGTTTATGCTCACTATCTCTCTGTATCTCTTTCTAACTATCTCTCAGGTCGGGTCTCGACGAAAGCCATTTGTTTGCAGGATCAGAACACGCAGGTCAACTCTTCACTCTGCAACCCTGAGACCAGACCTGTGGTGGGCTCTCACCTGTGCAACACACAGCCCTGCCCTGCCTAGTAAGTGTCTGTGTGTGTGTGTGTGTGTGTGTGTGTGTGTGTGTGTGTGTGTGTGTTTGTGTTTGTGGGTGTGTTATTCTGTCTGACTTCCTTGTCCCATGCTTGCTACTTTCCAGCAGGGTTGGATACAACTGAGATTTTAAGATTTAGCTCCCTTTCAGTTCTTGAGTTTGAGTTTGAATTTGAATTGCTCACACCCAACACAGCTAGTTGAACTGGAAGTTACATTTGAAAGAAATAATATATAAAACCTGCACACAAGACCTTTTAAATTTCTTTAAAGTTGTGATATAATGGAAGTAGCAACAGATTGTGCTTTTTCCCCCAGATTGTTACATACATCCTTGTGAAACAGAAAAAGAAAAAAAAATGTAGGGTGGGTACTTGGTTTTGTCAGTTGGTTGTTGATTGTATGGAGGCAGATCTGAATGCAAGCTTGCAGTTGATTGTAAAAGGGTGGGTTTAAGTGGATTCAATGGTTGGAGAAGTCGATCATTCGTCACTACTTTCACTCAGATGCCACAATATGGAAAAAAAATTCTACTTCTGTCATTTTCACTGTACGATCAAGTTATGACATTGAAATCATGATGTCAAAAAAGCAAACATATGTATGAATGAATCATGCACAGTAAGAACAATAGCATGCATTTAGAAAAGAAAATGTGGATTTTAATTTCATGCTGATCTCAAATACGTTTTTAGTTCTAATTGTATCTTCACAAACCTTCCCTTTCTAGCTAAAATGTATTTAAATTGCATTTATTTTAATTCAATTTCCTTCATTTGAAACAGTTTGCTACTTCCATTCAAATTCAAAAATGTTAATGAAAATGGTGTACAACCTTGCTTTCCAGCACTATTGGTGAGCACGGTGCCCTGGTATATCTGTGTGAAATCAGCTGTGGTGGCTTCAGCATGAGCAGAACCCAGCTTAAAGCTCTGAGAAGTCACGTTCTTCCTTGGGTTCTTTTCTCTGATTCATTCCTTAAAGAAAACAGGATTAACATAGCCTCCAGACAGGGACTGACTGTACCCTTACTGCCCAAACTCTAGCTCCAAGCCACAGCCTGCCACACAAGCACCTCTTAAATTATACAAACTCAAACCCACATACATACATAAACACACAAGCTTTCACAATAAGGCATATACAGTGGGTACGGAAAGTATTCAGACCCCCTTAAATTTTTCACTCTTTGTTATATTGCAGCCATTTGCTAAAATCATTTAAGTTAATTTTTTTTTCCTCATTAATGTACACACAGCACCCCATATTGACAGAAAAACACAGAATTGTTGACATTTTTGCAGATTTATTAAAAAAGAAAAACTGAAATATCACATGGTCCTAAGTATTCAGACCCTTTGCTGTGACACTCATATATTTAACTCAGGGGCTGTCCATTTCTTCTGATCAGCCTTGAGATGGTTCTACACCTTAAGTTGAGTCCAGCTGTGTTTGATTATACTGATTGAACTTGATTAGGAAAGCCACACACCTGTCTATACAAGACCTTACAGCTCACAGTGCATGTCAGAGAAAATGAGAATCATGAGGTCAAAGGAACCGCCTGAAGAGCTCAGA